CTCTGAAGTCCATCGTTCACCTAGGCAGTTGGCTCTAATACGTGTTTGAAAATCTGTTATAGGAAAGATAGGTTATTGCTCTTCTAATGAATCTCTGGGAAATAACATTGTTGCTTCTAACTTATTAAGGTGAAAATACATGACTATCCAGTTTTCCTTTGCATTTCATTTTTTTAATCACCACACAGATCAACGATACAGCACTATAATTAACAATACTGTTTTATATAATTAAAAATTTGCTAAAAGAGTAGGCCTATGTTCAGCGTTCTTACAACAACAAATAATAATAAATGAAGAGGGTAGGAGGAAACTTTTGGAGGTGATAGATATGTTTAAGGCATAGATTCTGGTGATGGTTGCACAGGTGTATATGTATCTCTGAGCTCATCAATTATGTACAGCTTTTTGCATGTCCATCATCTCAATGAAGCAGTTTTTAGAAAATCACCACCACATGCCACTATGAAATATTTCCTTAGAAACAAAAGACTCATCACATCGGTGTAGAGAGGGTAACCATAGTTTCTATTATGAGCAAATGTGGCAAAATTTGTCATGCACAAAGGACAGTAAAACTGTGTTTGTAGCTTGATATTGAAGACAGATGTAATGAAAGAAAATTTTTACTGTTTCAGTGTGGAAAGATGACATCATTAAGGAAGAAAACAGTTCTTTTAAATAATGCATTCTATTTTGCAATATAGTTATGCTAGGGCAAGAGAGAGTAAAAATGTCTTAAATCATCAAATTTTTCCACTTTCACAAAGGAAATAAATACAATAATTAGAAAAATCCAAGTGAAATATATTTATTTTTACTCTGCATAAATGCAGGGCAAAAAGACTTCTTAGGGTTTTTTCTTTCCTTTAACAGTACATTAATGTCCAAATAACTGAAGAAAAAGAACTGCAAATTATAATCTTTTCTCCCCTCATGTCAAAGCCAAGGTTTACTCCTAGCTATTTTAACAGGTAACATATTAAGTCAAAAAAAGTAAATTAAAAATCATTCTCTGGAGGGTACATTTTTTACCAGACTAAAATGAGAGAGTAAGTTATGCATCCAGTAGGAAAAACCACGATTTCAGGGGAATTTGAGAGGGAAGTATTTTTCTCCAGTTGTGAAACTTTATAACAATATGTTTTTTAAAAATTTGGTAGTTTGACATATTCCATTTCTTTTTAATTTTATAAGTAATACATTCCAAAATCAGGTGATCTTCTATTACATGTACTTAAAATAACTATCTTCAAGGCAAAGAATAAAATCAACATTAAATAATGAGGGCTTATGTTTGCTTTTAGTAATATTAATAGGATTCCCTAGTAACACTCATGATCATTATTAATATAATACTATAGTCCCTAAATCTTTCCTGGACAAGAGTAAATAAAAGTAATAATGTAGTATAAAATCAACTTTACCACGTTTGTGCTGAGCATTGTATATTATCTCTAATCCTTACAACATCCCTACAGGTCGTTATTAGCTCCATTTCAAACAGGAGGACGGTGAGGCTTGACGAAGTCAAGCAAGCTGTTGAGCACTGCATTGCTGGTAAATGGCCAGATGGGGATTGGAATCTAGGTGTCTCACTGCTTCTATGTTATATGCATATTTATACTGTCAGTCAAAATATGCCTTTGAAATATAGTAACTTTAACACAGCAATGCCTGTTATGGAATGCATAATTTGTCATGTCCCCAAAACACCATAATTTTTAAAAAGGTTCTACTCTAAAGGTGTTTTTCTGTTCTTTGAAACTCAACTAGAACACAGATTCATTCTGAATGATATAGATACTAAACCTTCACATAATCCAAAGGTTGATAAAGATACATGTCCTGGACTAGCAGGCACTCCGAGATATTATTATTTGCAACTAACTGGAAAAGAAATATTCAATAAAGATCTTATTGCATCCATTAGGCATCAAAGCATGATTTCAAGCAAAAGCAATCCTGAAAAAGAAGAACAAAGCCGGAAACAGTACACTTCCTGATTTCAAACTATATTTCAAAGCTAGAGTCATCAAAAAAGTATGATATTGGCATTAAAAACAGAAATGCAGATCAATGGAACAGAATAGAGAGCACAGAAATAAACCCATGCATATATGATTCATCTATTTATGACAGAGGAGCCAAAAATATACAATGGGGAAAGGATAATCTCTTTAATAAATGGTGTGGGGAAAACTGAATAGTCACATGCAAATGAATAAAACCAGACCTCTACTTATGCCACATGAAAAAATCAAAGTCAAAATGGATTAAAGACTTGAACATAAGATCTGAAGCTGTAAAAATCCTCAAAGAAAATATAGAGAGTATGCTCCTTGACATTGGTCTCGGCAATGATTTTTTGAACTTCACACTAAAAGCAAAAACAAACAAGTGGGAGTACATCAAACTAAAAAGTTCTGCTCAACAAAGGAAACCATCAACAAAATGAAAAGGCAACCTATGAAATGGGAGAAAACATTTGCAAACTACATATTCGATGAGGTTAATATCCAAAATACATAAGGAATTTGTACAGCTCAATAGCAAAAAGGAAAGTAAAACAAGTAACCATTTTTCATTTAAAATGGACAAAGAAACTCAACAGACATTTCTCCAAAGAAGACATGCAAATGACCAACAGGTACCCGAAAAGGTACTCAACATCACTCATCATCAGGGAAATGCAAATCAAGACCACACTGACATATCACCTCACACTTGTTAGGAAGGCTCTTAGGAAAAAAAGAGATAAGAAATGCTGGAGGGGATGTGGAGAAAAGGGAGCCCTCCTGCACTGTTGGCAGGAATGTAAACTGGTACTACCACTGTGGAAAACAGCATGGAGGTTCCTCAAGAAATTAAAAATAAAACTACCCTATGATCCAGCAATTTCACCTCTGGGTATATAGCCAAATGAAATGAAACCGTTTTCTCAAAGAGGTATCTGTCCTCTCATGTTTACAGCAACATTATGCACAATAGCCAAGGTTTGGAAACAACCTAAGTGTCCATCAATAAATGATGGATGGAGAAAACTTAGTACACACACACACACACACACACACACACACACACACACACACACACACTGGAATATTATTCAGCCTCAAAAAAAGTGGGAAATCTTGTCATTTGTGACAATATGGGTGAACCTGGAGGGCATTATGCTGATGAAATAAGTCAGAAAGACAAATCTTGCATGGCATCAGTTATATGTGAAATCTAAAGAGAAAAAAAGAAGTTGAACTCATAGAAATGAGAAGTAGAAAAGTGGTTGCCAGGGGCTGGGGGGTGGGGAAAATAGGGAGAAGTTGGTGAAAGGATACAAGCTTTCAGTTACAAGATAAGTAAGATCCATAAGAGGATCTAATGTATAATATAGTGACTATAGTTGATAAAACTGTATTGTAAAATTGATATTTGCTAAGAGAGAACTTAAATGTTCTCACCCAAAAAGGGAGGTATAAATATGTGAGGTGGATGGATGTGTTCATTAACTGGATGGATGTGTTAACTAACTAGGTGTTAATTAACTAGATGTATGTGTATATCAAATCAACACATTGTACAGTTCAAATACCTTACAATTTGTCAATTATACCTCAGTAAAGCTAAAAATAAAGAATCAAAGCATAATTTCAAACTGATTTCTACTTGATGAGTTTAAATCAGCAGATCCTTATGTAAGGGAGATATCTTTGGAAAAAAAACACAACCATTTATGTTCTCAAATAGATGAGCACACTAACAGTTTGACATTTTCAAAAACACTGCATTAACAAAACTCACTAGCTCCAATAAATAACAAGATTGTGATTTTGTCCATACAGCAGTTCTCATAGCAGCAGAAGAAAGAAAAGGAGGAAGAAAAAGAGAAGGAAGGAAGGAGAAGAGGAGAAAAAATAAGAGGAAGGAGAAGGAAAACAAAGACAAGGAAGAGATGTAGAAAAGGAAAAGAAGTGATGGAAGGAGAGGAAAAGGAATGGAGAGGGAGAGAAGCTGCTTGATATTCTAACTCCAGATTATTATTTGAAATTCTATTCACAGACACTCGCAGCCCTCTGAGCTCTTCTGCGTACTTGAATTATATATTATGTAGTTGTACTAGATCCTACTTGGGTGCAGATTTTAAAAAGATGGCCTATCAAGTCATCTCTGTCCCTCAATTTTGACACCACTACCAGAGAGTAGAGACTCTGTACCAGAAGTTGGAACTTGCCACATTAGGGAGTATAAAGTTTAAAGTATAAATTTACCAAGAGGGGAAATGAAACTAATATTTATTGAATACCTACTATGTAGCTAGGACTTACACTAGGTATCTTAAATGCATTTTATCATTTAATAACATTAATATTATTATAGCCATTTTACAGATTGAAAAACTGAGGCTTGGAGAGGTAAAGTAACATTCCCATGGTTGCACCACAAGTAAATGACAGCCCAGAATTTAATCCTGCTTGAATCTTCTGTGTTCATCTCTTACTTCACTGCCCTATATCAATATGTATGGTGCTTGTTAGTGATTCATTCTAAATAGCAGCTCAGGGCTCCTTTTCCTTATTTCTCCTTGAGAAAAGCTGATGTGACCAGAAGCCAAAATCACTACCAGTGATCTATGGGATTATGGACTGAAGTTTTCAGTATGAGTCAAAGTCTCTTGTGTGGCTTGCCGCCTTGGATTCCTTACTTTAGCCTCCCACTCTTAGCTTCTCACCTGTTTAGACTGAAGTACAGAGTGACAAAACCTATTTGAGGGGAGGGAAGGACATGTGTGCCGTTGTCCATGGTCCTGAACTACATGTTGTTCCTGTGGGAAGAGGAGATGTAGTTATGGATGTGGCACAGAGTACAAACCCAGGAAGGTCTGACAGAACTAGATATGGTCCAAAGGAAAGGATACAGGGAGTAGATGGCTTAAACAGCACAATCCAATAGAATTTTCCATAATGGTAATAATGTTCTAATTCTGCATTGTTCAATGTAGTAGCCATTAACTACATGTGGCCACTGGGCACTTGAAACATGGTGAGTAATCAATTTTTTATTTCATTCAATTTTAACTAGCTTAAATTGAAATAGTCACATGTGTACCATATTGGACAGCACAGATTAGGTCATCAGCACTAAGCTGTTTCTTGAAAATGCAAATCTGGGGGCACCACACGAGATGTTCAGGGTCACGATCTCTGGGATGAGTCCAAGGATGTGCACTTTTAACCACAAAATTCCTGTGGTCACTGACATTCAAGACCCGCTATCTTACAGGGTCAGCCTTCTGAAACCTTTCCCCTAAACCCACTATTGCCTGCCACTTTCACTTCAGTTCTTGAGCTTGCCCTGACTTAGAAAATTTAAAAGCCTTAACCTCACTCTCAGCCCTGCCTTTATACTTGGGACCCAGTGGCTCAGGATGGTTGTTGAGTTTCCACATCCTCCCTCTTCATCCCAAGATTCATTAAGGGCCAGCATTAAGGGCACTCATGACACAGAAACTCTAAGCTCCTGTCTAACCCTGCCCTAAGTCACAATACTCCCAAATTCATATGCTATTTGCCCTCCCTACTCATGTATTTTTTTCTAGTTCAAAGAAACAGGCATTTGCCTTGGTTTCTGCCTCCTTTAGCCCCCTGTCCTTTCCCTAATTCCTTCTACTTGTAGGGATGGTGCCTTCCTGGTTCCCACCAGCCTGTCTCAGATGAACCCTCATCTCCACAATCTCCATCCACAGTCAGGATGTACGGAGAGCTCTAGTGGGACACTGACTACTACCCTTCTGACTTTCAAGTTAAACTCACTTAGAATGGACCTCTAGGTTCTGATGAATGACCAATTCACCCATAGTGTGATATATTTTTGAAACACTGCTGATTCTCTGTAGCTAAATCCATTTCTCCAAGCCTCACATATTGATCACATTACCTAGATTCCAGCATGCTACACTTCTGAGCCCACCTTAATTAAATATTTTTAGTTTAATAATGGAAGTCAGAGATAAAACTAAATATTTTCAGAACTGTGAATTCAATATCTACTAAAGTTTTCATACCTTATCCCCACCGTCACCACCACTCATATACACACATATACACAACACAGAATGTACACTGATATATCAGTTAAAAAAAATAATCTCCTATGGATTGCCACATTTGACTGACAGAATGTGTAGACTGTTACACAAATCATCCCACACAGCTGTTGGATAGGTCCCTCTCTCATTGACCTTGGGCTTGGTCATGTGACTTGCTTTGACCAGAAAGACATTTAGCAAATACAAGAGGAGCAGAGACTTGGTAAGCACTTGCACACAGAGATATGCCTTCTTGGAATTACTGCCATTGGCACGTAGGAGACGTGTCTCTGCTGCTGAAGCAGCCAGACAGAGAACTGAGGCACTCTGCTGATGGTCCTGGCTGACCTCCAGGTGAGGGTGAGGCTATGTTGGCTCATCCAGCTCCAGTCAAAGCCCCAGATCACAGTATACGCATGAGCAACCCCAGAAAACCAACAGAAGAACAGCCAGGTATAAAGTGAACCTAGACCAAACTGTGAGCAAATAAATGATCATGTTTAAAGCCATCAAGTTTTGAGATAGTTACGTAGCAACAGATAACTGAAACACAGAAAGACCCTAAGAGATATTACCATCATTGCTATTTTATAAATTAGGAATGTGAAGTTCAGAGAGATTAGATAATTTATCCAAGATCTTAGAGCTAGAAAGCAGCAGAAGAGGATCTCCAACTTTAGTCTGTCCCCAAGTTCAGCACCTCTCCACAACACTAGGCTGCATCTATACAACCACCATTCAATTAGTAAGGGGTCCTCAACAACCCCAGTCCTCCCCAGACCCCATTTGCTGACCTAGTCACCCACCTCCAGCATCCCTTTATTGAGGATAAGTGTCCTTTGGCTCCCTCTTGGCCTGCTGGTGACCTCCTCTTGTTACTTTCATTCTGCAAAAACTTAGGCCAGGAATTATTTTAAGGGAACGGCTTGAATACAGCTAATGGAAGCCTTAAAAGGTGAGATCTACCTTATGTGCAAAATGAATATTCTGGTCTGCAGTCCTGATATAGGTAATCATAATGGAGAAAAAGAGAAACAAACTTATCTGGTCTGGAGGAAAGCCATAAGAATTATTTAAGGATTATAAGAAATTCATTAGTGAAAAATAGATTTTGGCATCAAAGTTCTTATTCATAGAGAACACTATAGTTATATTGTCTTTAATGCAAAACTGAAGAATGAAATGGATTTAAATGCCAAAATTGTGAAAATGTGCCACAAAACTGAATAAAAATTTTAAATGGAAATCTTAAAGTAAGGCCATGACAAATGTATTTTTTAAGATTGCATTTATTTATTTATCTATTTATTTAAGATTTTATTTATTTATTTGACAGAGAGAGAGCACAAGGAGGGGGAGCAGCAGAGGGAGAAGGAGAAGCAGGCTCTCCACTGAGCAGGGAGCCCGATGTGGGGCTCAATCCCAGGACCCTGGGATCATGGCCCGAGCCAAAGGCAGACACACTGAGCCACCGAGGTGCCCCATGACAAATGTATTATGAAGAAAAAACTCACCACTCGAGAAGTTTGTACAGGAATTACCAAAACAATAAGGAGATGTAAATAGGCGTATTCATTTCTTCTGAAAATTCTTAAGGAACTTCATCATGCCCCTAAGACTAATTCATGGATTTAGTTCCAGGTGAAGCAAATTTTTTGAAAGAAGTCCCTGCTTCTTGGCTAGAGATATGCTTACTTTGCTATTATCAATAGACAAGTGAACCAGTCTTCTGAGTTTTTGGCTTGGGAGCCCAAAACGTAATTTTAAAGTGAAAATTTTCATATCTGAATGTCATTTTGCCCATAGTGATAGAACAGTAAGAAAGCATCTGGCATAAATTAAGTGAACCAATTTCCAAATCATGTGAAGAATAACTTTTAGTGTGAGGATGTGAGGTCATTATGAAAACTGGCTTGCCCACAGGGTTCAAAAGACAGTGTGGATAAAACATGTGAGCTCATAAACAAGCTTTCTGAGGATGAATTCATTTTCCTGCAGCCCTCTGTCCACACAACAGAGCGAGCAATTGCACAGGTGTGTCAAGCAGCCTGTATAACCCAGCTTGTGTTTGTTCCAGGAGAGCTCATGTGCCCACATCATTTCACTCAAAGAAGGAAAGCAGAGTGGGCTAGTGAGGAAGCACCACTGCCTTTAACCCAACATTTAACCTCTTGGTGGCTCATTGTTCTGTAAAAGGTAGGTAGTAAAACGCATGCTTCCTATTTCACAGAGTTGCAAGCATAAAAAGTGTAAACATGCTTTGGAGAAGTTCAAAGTGCCGTGTAGATACAAAGGGCTCTATATCTGGTGAAGAGTATAAAAAGGCAGCGATCCCACCAGCCAGCCATGAGGCTGCTGGTGATGCCTCACGTGAAAGCAGAGGCATCTGAAAACACAAAAGACCTAACAGGGAGCAGAAATAAAGATATGCTGCTCGAACAAAAAAAAAAATGATCACGCTTATTCTGGATCCTCACATAAGAAAATAATATTTTGAAAAATTGTCATGTTAAATTTAAGCTACCCTTCGGTGACTCCAAGCTATGCAATTTGCATTTAGCACACGCTTAATTATATCCTAGAAGAATTCCTCTAATTCTCATTCATGACAATAATCCTGCAAAATTTAACTTGGATCCACTTACAAAGACTTATGCACAAGGTCAATGATAATAACTCAATCATTTCTTTCTTTCCACCTACTTTCTGAATAATGATTCCCTTTCTTCCACACGGTGCAAGGGTTCCAAATCCTGTTTGCATACAAACCACACATTTTTCCTATACCACCTTATCTCCATTCATAATTTCACATGCACTAACACCGAAAGAAGAGTGCTCTGTGTTCAAGCCAGTCCATTTCATTCCATTAAATAGACATTTTTTATTATACTACATCTGGTGCTTTTCTTGTACCTACACCACATGTATTTGACACTGTTTTTGTCATTTAGAGGGGAAAACACTTAGGAATAAGTCCCCGCATCCAAGAAGAGTACTCTAAGAGAGAGGGTAAGAAAAAATCAAGACAATAATACAAGCCAGAATAGAAGAGCTTTAGAGAGGTTTAAAAGGCTCTCGGTGGTAAAGAAAGAGATCACATCTTGTCTTGTCAGGATGAGGTTTCAGAAGGATGCTTTCTAAATAACCCTCAAAGCAGAAATAGAGATAGAAAAGAAAAGATGCCTTATTGGCCAAAAACCATGTTATTTGCAAAAATAATCAAAGCATGGGTGGGAAGAAGAGGAAGGACAAATGCTGGCTTTGAGGGAGCAAAGCAAAGAGCACAGCCTGGGTCTACTGGTGGTGAAATCTGGTGGATGAGGGCACCAGTCTCTACAAAGGGAGGAGTGGAAAGATGAAGCCAATGAGCTCTTCTTATTCTGAAGAGCTTTAATTGCCAGGCCAGCATGCAAGATATGAGAGGGTCTTTGAAGAGAGGAAGGCAGGAAAATACAATATTTCACTGCCACAAAACCCTAGCTCTTTCTATTACATAATCATTAACACAAATAATGGATAAAATGATAAAAAAACAAGGGGCTGGAAAAAACAAGGAGCATGGTTCATTCAGTTTGGCAAATGCCCCCAAGCCAAAAGTGGCTTCTCATTTTCTCTGATTACCTCTCTGGGTTCCTAGTTTCAGTGAGTTCCCCTTACTCAATATCCAGATAATTGATGTATTAAAAATATTTTTATTGTATCTTGATTTCTTTTTTATTTATTTATTTGACAGAAAGAGATCAAATACTGCTTTACTATTTTATGTGTGTATTTATAATACATACATAATAATTTATAATTTATAATATTATTGCTGGCTATACTTGTAATTAGCTTTCTATAAAAAAGCATTGTCATGTTTTATTTTGTGGTCATGAAATGCTATCCAGTTATTCAGTATTAGGAAAGTTTCCCCCAGTATAATACCAAAGTGATACCTGGGCTTTATTTCCAGCAGTATGGTTAACAAAGTACCCTGCTTGACCTTCCTGCAGAAATCAAAATACAAGGGGTGCCTGGGTGGCTCAGCCATTAAACGTATGCCTTCAGCTCAGGTCATAATCCCAGGGTCCTGGGATTGAGTCCTGTGTTGGGCTCTCTGCTTGGCGGGGAGCCTGCTTCTCCCTCTCCCTCTGCCTGCAGCTCCCCCTGCCTGTGCTCTCTGTCAAATAAATAAATAAAATCTTTAAAAAATAAATAAAAAAGAAATCAAGATACAATAAAAATATTTTTAATACATCAATTATCTGGATATTGAGTAAGGGGAACTCACTGAAACTAGGAACCCAGAGAGGTAATCAGAGAAAATGAGAAGCCACTTTTGGCTTGGGGGCATTTGCCAAACTGAATGAACATGCTCCTTGTTTTTTCCAGCCCCATAAAGCCACAGAATAAAGGCCACAAAGCCCAGGATTCACCCGATGTGAGGGGTTTGTTTGTTTGTTTGTTTGTTTGTTATTTTCTTGGAGGATAGGAGGTTTATTTAACACCAGCGGGCTCAGAGGAGAGCGGTCTCCAAAGGTCTGAGCCTAACGTGAGGGGTTTAATAGGAGATCCCCTTTCATGAAACTTAGCTCCAGTGTAAGAGTGAACTGGAAAATAATTCTGGCATTCACAGAACTGAAAACAAAATTACCTATCCAGAAATGTAGTCTCAGAGAGGGTGGGACTCTTCCCTAAAATTTCTTAACCACAGTCAGTCTTCATGTAGTTTTAAAGGCCAAATTCACACTACCTAGGATGTCCAATAAATCACAAGCTAAAAAAGTCAGTTTAGAGTTGTCCTGGGCTGTTAGCTCCTCCAGGTTCCTGGCAGGAACAAATTCAAAATCCATTCTGCAGAATTAGATTTATCACAGTTTCAAAGAATTCATGCAAATAAGTTCCCAGAAACATGAGGTCATGGTGTAAAACAACAAAAAACACCCCCCCAAAATACACATAAACACAGGAAAAAAGTACCATGAGCAAAAGCCAACAGAACAGACTGAAAAAAGGTCTAAAAGGCTTTATATCTAAATAAATTTAAGGATGGCTTAAAATAGGAAGAAAAAGAAAGACGCCATAGAAATGATGCAGATATTTATTTTTTTTAAAGATTTTATTTATTTATTTGAGAGAGAGAGAATGAGAGATAGAGAGCACGAGAGGGAAGAGGGTCAGAGGGTCAGAGGGAGAAACAGACTCCCTGCCGAGGAGGGAGCCCGATGTGGGACTCGATCCCGGGACTCCAGGATCATGACCTGAGCCGAAGGCAGTCGCTTAACCAACTGAGCCAGCCAGGCGCCCTGATGCAGATATTTAAATAAAAAATATATGCATAGTACTCAGTTTGGCAGCATATATACTAAAATACAAATTCTAGAACTAAAAAAAAAAAAAACAATTTTCTTAACTTAATAGACTAACAACGTTGAAGTGTGAAACAGGAAGGTAGAAACAATCATCCAGAAGGCAACATAGAGAGATCAAGACAGAAATTACAAAAAAGAAACCAAAAGATATGTCAAACCAGAGCTCTAGAGGGACAAGAAAGAAAAAGAATAGGAAAAAAGAATATTTGGATTGATGATTAAGAACTTTTCGCAAATAATGGGATATCTCTCCCCAAGCTGAAGAAACCTAATGAATCCCAAACTTGATAATTTAAAAAAAAAAAAAAAATCCATGCTTAGAGATTTATCTGAATCTCTGCACTCCCAAGACTGGGTCAGTTTTGAGCTTTAGGTATGATCTCATCTGTTAAAATAATAAACAGAGAGCAACCTTGAAAATTCCCCATGCAGACAAAACCAGTTTTAGTCATACAAAGTTTAATTCAGCTTTTTTTGCAAGACTAATTTGACCTGGGTCATTTCTTGCTTATGCCTCTGAAAATCATAAGCAAGACTTAAATTCTTTCCCAAGGTTGATATTAGTTACCACTGACCAGTTCCCTATCATTTAAGAGAATTCTTATATTAAAACCAATCATTGTGAAGAATAAACAGTCAGTGCTTTCTCACTACATAAGCTGCTTTCTAACAATATACTCCTGAGCCTCGTTCCATGTTTTCGTTTGGGTGTTCTCAGTTTGCAAACTGCCTTATTGGTGTGTGCACAATAAACGTTTACTAATCTCTACTTCAGTGATCCATTGGTTTTACCTTGGCTATTTCTGAACTTTTTTGTTTTTTTAAGATTTTATTTTTAAGTAATCTCTACACCCAACGTCCAGCTCGAACTTACAACCCCGAGATCAAGAGTCCCAAGCCTTACCTACTGAGCCAGCCAGGAGCCCCTGAACTTTTGACACCTCTCTGGCAGTCCCTTTTTCCAACAAAAAAGTCTTTACTTCAAGAAGAGGCGAGCAGGCTCAGTGGCAAGAGAGTCTGGTTCATAGCAACATCTACTTAGTATATTTTAAAATATCTTGCCACATAAAGCCAAAGAAATACCCACCAAATTCCAGTCACTGAGGGTTGTCCTGAATGCTCTTTAGGTTCTCCAAAAAGAAGCTTGTTTTGTGTCACATTATTTTTCTCCCCTTTTTGTGGGCCAGATTCAATTTGTCACTACTTGGATATTGAACACTTTCTGCAAATTAAAGAGAAAGTCACCTTAGGCAACTCTCAAATACAGGCTTATTGGAAACTTGATGATACTGTAAATCATTACAGAGCTTAGGTTCTGTACCACTGCCCTCACTGATCAAATAGAGGGCACTGCTTTGAAGACAGCAAGGACCCCTGGGACTGGCCTGATGCTTTTTGCCTTCAGCTTCTAAAGTTTATCACATTACTAATGTTTGAGCTTCTGGATTCTGCTGGCTAGTTTAATCATCTTGAGGTACAATAATACCATTAATAGTGTTAGAAATGATTTATCCTTCTTTGTACTATTTCCTTCTGCTTGATTCATTCATTTTATTTATAATTTTGCAATTATAAGTTTTCTTCCCATAATCTTTCTCTCTCTGGCCGTTCAAAGCAAAGACCACACTATCCTCTCTCTTTTATGATAATCTATTGCTATGTAAATAGAGTTTTCAAACGGATTAAATGATCCAAGAGTAATAAAGAAAAAAGAAGTACTTTCTAAGAGAAAATTTGTGTTCAAATACAATCCCTTTAAGCTGTTACAAAAACATTACACAATTATTAATTGAGCCCTATATATCTAGCAAGGTGCTAGGTCCTAAGCAATTCAGAGAA